CAGATGCGTTGTACCGACTTCTTTCAAGCTCCCAGTAACTACCACGTACACTTCTTAAGAAATCTTCCCGTAGAAGGAAATTATGTTATGCATAACAAGAGTTTTACTACTGCGCGAATAATAATAGACAAACAGAACAAAAACGGTGTCCGAATTCCACGTCCTTAATGCCCATTCCTCCCTAATCAGGTTACAACTTAAATGATTATCTTGCATATAGCATTTCATTAAAATTCTAAAACTGGTAGTTTTTTTGCTTCCCTTCCTCAACTGCCCAAATCAGTGGATTATTGGACTTATTACCTTCCTCGTTCCATCGATGCCGATGCGAGTTCGTGCGAGTGTCTTGCCTTTGCACACGTCCCTGGGCTTGATCATCTTCGTTGGTTCAATTTGCGCATGCATTTCAGGCATCACAGAAAAGAACTTTTTCTCTAAAAGGTAGGATTATGTAAACAATTTTGCCTCCCTCTCAGTTTTATCTTGTTCGTTCACCCTACTCAAACTGCTACGATAAATAATGTGAGCTCAGGAAGGCAAAGAAGCTATCTGTTTAACTAACGCGAAATTGGTGAGCAGGCACAGTTGGAGTTAAGGAGTAGGCGTCATCGTTGGCATAAGAGCTTCCTTTACCCGACTTTTCAAGTTCATGCTCAAAACCCTAATCACAGATGGCGGCAAAAGTAGCTTATGTGGGCCCACTCATACCCCTAGTCCCAGCATTTTGTCCTGCAAAAAAAAGATGTTTATAGAGTTTTCGTGGGTGAGAAAATAGAATAGGCAGAGAAGGAAATTTTTAGACGTAAGTGTTAAGTGAAAAAAAAATGTAGTCGAAGTTGCTTCCCGCGGCCGCTGGGAGTAAGTTGTTCAGTAAGTGTAAAGTGAAAAACAATGTAGTCGAAGTTGCTTCCCGCGGCCGCTGGGAGTAAGTTGTTCCGCATGAAAAAGTGTAGTCGAAGTTGCTTCCCGCGGCCGCTGGGAGCAGGTTGTTCCGCATGTAAATCGAAGGTGTGCGCGGCGCTTTGTGCCGCGGACTATACTAATCTAACTCCAGAACAGTAAGTTGGACCTCAGGTAAGTTGAAGTAGACGGCCTCCTAACCACCATTTCTATTTTTCGGGAAATTCAAGAAACCTGCAATTTGATAATCGGGTTTCTCCGCAATAAGTTTAACGATAATACAGATTAGGAAAATCTACAGATATAAATCAACAACACTTCTAAGTTAAATGGTAATACAGATTAGGAAAATCTACAGATATAAATCAACAACACTTCTAAATACAGTGAAAATGCATGTAGCATTTATTAAAGAATATTCCACTGCGTGTCCTAATTCCCCACTCATAAAACCCTATAACCACCGTTTTCGTAGGAAAAAATGCAGTGAGTAGGGATTAATGAGTGGGCCTACATAAGCTACTGTTGCCCAGATGGTATTAGGTACGAGAAATGGATACACAGCGGATCGCATTTCTTAAAGGACGCAGTTCCTATCCTCCCTCATACCTTTGCCATTTAGTGTCTTCCCCCTTCTTGAAGGCTGATTGTCCTTTGGTGTGACAATTGTTTAATGGTCGCCGTTCTTGTCGTTAATCTGCCATATTTAATCACTCCCTATGGGTTATTATCATAATGCTTGCTCGATCATTTGGCTCACCGACACTCGCGTTGGAAACAGTGTTCCCCCTCCCGCGTGCCCCCGAATACCGACCACCAAGCCATTATCGTACCAAAGGGCAACCATCCTCGATGAAAGAGGGGCCGCTAATTGTCCCCGGTGTGCGGTAATCACATCCACCTCTTCGCACGGGTATCCTGGACCTCGTATTTTATCGGCAATTGCTTGATGGCCGGCTGTGGAGTTGTTAATCACTGAAATTTTACCACCCGTGTGGGTTGTTAATGTGATGAGACTGCTCGAACACCACCAACAATGGTGTTAGGAACAGTGTTCGCCTACGTGCTCTTCGTGTGTCTAGGCTAAGGCTCAACCCCAAGTGTGGTCTAGGAGGAGGAAGAGGTCATCGCACTCGTTACTAGACTAAGGGCCAGCAATCCACGACTCAAGCAGTTCGCGGCTCACCCGATTGTCACTTCTTTTGAAAGTGTCAGCCTCGTCGAACTTAAATATGTAGTTGGGTCTCGTCGGGAGAGCGGCAACTATTGAGTTGGTGTTATTTATACGCACTGCTCTTGCGTGTTCGTTCATTCGCGCCTAAAGCAGTCTTCCAGCTTCTCCGACGTAGTTTCCCTGTCTGCAACCGTATCAGGCCTGATAAACGACCCAGGTTGTTTTT